CAACACTCAATAATTCTGATGATACCATCAAACATTCTTAATATGATATTATCAATCCCAGCTATAGATAACGAGCTGTCTTCTCCCATGTATATGGTAACATTATAATCAAGAATTCAGGAGTTCTTTTTATGATTTAAATTCACAGATAGAACTGCTCCAACACTACTACTATTACTATCATTAGAATTATTCATGTCAAATATATTAGCAAAACTCTCCTGCTCATTTTCTCTCTTCAAATAGGACAATCTTTTCAAAAGTGACCATTCTCCCCTCACTCAAAATAGTTTTCATTTTTATCTCTAGATTTTGATTTGTCTCTTCTTTGTGTCTTTCCCCTATTTACCAAACCTTCCCTTTTGTCTTATACTCAGTAAAGTTCTTTTACAACTCTTTTAATTTTAGTGCATTGCTAACATCATCTTGTGAAATACTAGTTTTCTCATACAATAGAGTATCAATATAAGTCTCATAAAAAGATGGTAAAGAACACAGAACAATTAATGTCTAATTCTCATTTTTAATTTTAATATCTATGTTATTCAGGTTCATAATTAAAGAATTAAACTCATCAAGATGTTGTTTAATGGATGTACTTTCACTCATTCTGAAATTGTATGGTATTTTCTTCATATAAAAGCGGTTAGTCAGCAATTTTATAGAGTACAACTCTTTAAATTTCATCCACGCAGCTGAAGCTAAAATTTCTTCAGCAATCTTCTACAGAACATTGTTATTAACACTCATAAAAATTGCACATAAGGCTCTATCATACATATTTGTCTTTTCCGACTCTCTCATACTCTTAGGATATCTTTCTTTAATTGCCCCCACAACTTTTGAAACTAGAGATTATCTCATTATAATCTTTTATAGACTGAAACTTGTACCACCATCAAACTTTTCTATTTTATACCTTGTGGATGTCGCCTAGAATCCCTAGACTGTGCACTAAAAAAACAAACAAAGAAAAAAATTTGTCGAAAAATAAAAAACCATTCCCAGGGAGTCATCACTGCACAGAAAACCATCAAATGCGACCACTGAGTGTAATAGCCTAAACTCTCATCCAAAGTCTTGAACGAATGCCCACAATGTTATGATGAGATAATCAATAAGAATATTTCACACAACAAATCTTAAAATAATAAAAGTACATATCTTGCATACGTAACTCAAAATATTCAATATCTATGGGACATTTTTAATTTCTAAAATAAATACTTGCTAAAAATGAAATAATTACACATGAAGTACTATTCGAATTAAAATAAAAATTAAATAATTC